TCATTTATAAGTGTCTCTAAATTACAGAGACACTGATTTTTATCTATAATCAGGCTCTTACTGAATTAACAGTTTACTTAAATTAAAATGAATTAGAATGAAAGATTTAAAGAGAAATAAGCTATTAAAGTTTGTTTACATTGCAGTTTGTTTACATGCATTTTACCTTGTCGTGGCTGTTTTCAGGCAGAACCATTAATGTTGTCATATCACACAACTGTATAACACAATTCTGATTCATTTCTGAATGGATCGAGCGATTTGTGCTGTTTATCTCTTATAAATCGTGACAGAAGCGCAGTGGTGTGCGGGAGACTGATCCCGCTCTGCTTTAACGCGCGGCTGGCGGATGCACCTGGTAGCGCCGCTTCACACTTTTGGAGTACTTGCTTTTTGCAGTTTCGCGTGGGCTGTAATTTAAAAACAGCGCCTAATATGAGGTCTTCCTCGCTTCGGCGATCGACCCACCGGGAATGTCCCGGTGCTCCCGATGGCCAGTAGCTACATTTCTGGGTATGTTCAAGTAAGCTAGATGCCCAGATGCTGCGCAATTAGGCTTATTTAATATATCATGATGAGTCTCGAGTTCAGTATTTACACTAAATCTGTGCAGATTTGGCTTACATGAACTTCCTCAAGAAATTAATTAGTAAACATAATTTACGAAAAGTAACCCGCCAAATTGGCTAGTGATTTGACAGCGTTACCCGTCACAGCTGATTTTTGGCGGGTGTTAATTTCAAACCCTGTACATATATATATATATATACATTGCGTTATTTCATTTGTTTTGTATTATGTATGTAAACAAGCATGCCAATAAATTGGAATGAACACACTCACACACAACACAGAAACACATACTTGTAAGAGATAGAAATGCATTTTATATTTATTTGAATTCATATTTCATACATATACAGCACAGTGGCCAAAGCCATTCAAACCTTCAAATATATCCTGTGATCAATAGGCCTACCTAAATATACAATAAACATTATAATGTGATGAAAAATGGGCTATTGCTTCACCAGGATCAGTTTGATAAATGTTAGAACCTCCCTGTATAAGAAACATAGGGGAAACAGAATCCGATAGTGAGTCTGTTTGTCTAAAACTGTAATTCCTACAAGTTCAATCAGATCAATATACAGATACAACTCAAATTTGAATGTTTTAATTTGATCATCATTTAAGTGGTTGTTTTAAATAAAAACATAATAATTACGCAAGCTAATAATGTAGTTGAGTAATTTTGCAGTAAATAGGTACCACATATTCCCAAAAGCACAGCTTGTATTATATATTATACAATCGCTCTGTATATATATATATTAGTAGAATTACATTGGTCATTTATCTGAATTCATATTTCATACATATACAGCACAGTCGGCAAAGCTTTCCAAACCTTAAAATCGATCCTGTGATCAATACTTAAATATATAGTAAATATTATAAGATGATAAAAAGATAAGCGGAAACAGTGCGCGGGAACAGTGGAACGAGCACACGCTTCACATCAGTGTTTTTTTTTTTGTAAAGCTGCTTTGCAACGATTTGTATCGTGAAAAGCGCTAAACAAATACACTTGAATTGGATTGAATTTAATTAAAAAAGAAAGTATACATGCTGGAATACATCCAGTCAAAACATCTAGGAATGACATGTTTATACTTTATATTGTGTTTTTTTCCCCCTGCTCTATTCATTTGTATATATTTTTTAATGTATTTATCCAAACTATCAATTGCATCCTGTTTGAGCATTTTCTATTAATTTGGAATTTCACCTCTTCCACCAAATTTTCTCTTGTAGTGATTTTCCAGATCTTTCTTGAATCTCCACACAAACCACTTCCAGTACAGCATCTCGGATCGGTCAGGGGTGATGCTCCAGTCTGCATAAACTCCTTTTGCTCTGCTGTATTCTTTAAATGGAAACTCTCCATCCGATGTAAAAAAGGTTTCATCACTTGCCACTAAATGTGTGCAAATATCTGCACTGAGACTACCTGTTAGACGATAATGCCATCCATTAATTCCAATGACTCTGTGGAAAGGAACACTGTGATCTCCATCATGGTTTTCTATGGTGTTGGTGCAGATAGCTGTACAGAATGGACACTGAACCCAACAGCACTGACAGAAGTGATCAATCAGAAGCTCATCTGGTCTAAACTGGAGATCCAGTTTTTCATCAAATGTCTTTGTATTGAATTTATTACTGATCTCAGACATTATAGCAAGAAGTTATTTTCTAATCACATCTTTTAGGAGGTTGAAATCATCAGCATCGTCATTATTAACTCCACTGAGGTCTTTTTCAGAGAAGATCAGCTCATCTACGAGCTGCTGTGTGAACCTCTTCAACCACAAACCAACATCTCCACTGTTCACTTGAACGTGTTCAGTAGATTAATGTGCTGCTTTCATGATCTTCTGCTGCAGGAGTTCAATGTTCTCCTTAAAATTGGGTAAAACACTGACACTGAACTTAGCAGTGATGTACTGACTGACTTCATTTCTGATGAAACTCTTGAAGTGATCTCTGGGATTATGAATGTAGTTCATGTATTTGTCAAAATTCTCCTCTTCTGCCAGTGTCTTCAAGATGTGTTTCTCTAGATTAGATCTGTTTCCACTCACCGATGGACAATTTGTTTTACCGTCCAGCACTGACAGCAAACTGGAGTCCAAACATGGCATTCAGCATCGTGGATTTCCCAGAGCTCTGAATCCCTAAAACTGACAGCACAAAGACACTCTGGTCTCCCAGTTTCTGGATGAGTTCATCTAGTACAGCAGAGATCCAGGTCACAGGAACATGAGCAGCATCTCCATCCATCAGCTCCAGTGGAAATCCAGAGATCATCATCTCTGCTGCAAGACTCGGGAGAGAAGAGAAGTCAATCTGCAGCTCTTTCTTGTTCTTCTTTACTGATGAACATGATTCATAGATCTGACCGATCTCCCTCATGATGTGCTCCAAACCAAAGGCTGCAGCTTGAAGCTCCTCAGATATTTTTTCAAGTTCTATTTGTTTAGCTTTTAATTGTTCAGGTTTTTCATTGTCCTCTTTCAGTTTTACAACTTCTGACCACTTTTTATTATATTTGTGATGAAGAGCAGAAAGGTCGGCTGATGAATGCTCATCTAGCAGGATTCTGAGCCATTTGAGGAAAAACGTCATCTTGTTGGCAGCATGTGAGCTAAGTTCTTTAATAAAGAGCTTCATAAACTCACTGATGTCAGATTCATGCTGTTGTTGTCTGATTTTTTTTCATTTCTGTTTGTTTTCTACTGATGTCCATTTCTGTCTCATCTCCTTGAGGTCGATGTAGTTCTTTGTTCTTCTGACTCCAGTGATGCCACAGTTTCCCCTGACAGGGCAGAAATAATTCTTTGATTTCTGTCAGATCTTTCTTCTCCAGTAAAGTCATCATCTTCTGTGCTGCTGCTCTTCCTCTCCTGCAGTCATAATCGTCTTCTTCATCTACTCTGTTGTCTGAATTTTTGGACTTAGAGTTTGTGAACACATTTTTAAGTCTTAAAGTGGAAGATGATTCTGAAAGACAATCACTTATTGCTCTTCAGATACATCTGATTGATTTCTGTCCTTCAGACCGATTTTGAATTTCCCTTTCTTAATTTTCATTACAGTAGATTCATCCTCCATTAAAAGACAAATTAGTGTTTTTTTTTTTTAACAGGTTCTGGATATTTGCTGCATGTCTGTCATTCTTATCCAGTTGTGTTATTAGAACAACATTGACTGAGGCCATTTCAGTGAGGATCTGCAGTTGCTTCTCATGGTCTCCTGCATCCCCATGTAGATTACAGAAGGCAACACAGTTAGTGAATTTATCAGTGTTCTTCCCAGAGGGGCAGAACCAGGCGATCTCCACCACTCCATCCATCAGGACTCTGGTTCTGCTGCTGCCTGGGCAGTTTCTGTGAAAGAACGTGTTGTGTTTCTCATTGATCAGACTGTTCATCAGCTGAGACTTGGATGAAGACACAGAGCCAAACCTGAAGAAAAACACCATTGGAGTTTCTGCCTTGTAGATCGGCTGGGTTTGACTGATGATCTCATTGTTGGTGTTTCTCATCTTCCAGCTCTTGTTGACTTGTCTGAATGTCCAGAGAGGAAATTCAATCTCTTGTGTGAATGGATCAGGAACGAGCAGAGGAAGAGCGTACTGACACTGAGACAGTTAGAGAGGAAACTCAATCTGTCGTGTGAATGGATCAGGAACAAGCAGAGGCAGAGCGTACTGACACTGGAACAGTTTAGTCACTATTAGCTGCTTCAGGAAACCATCAGCACAATGAAACAGCCATCTGAACATCCATCGGGTGAATTCGCTCAGATTGGTTTGTTTTTGACAAAGGGATGTTGTCTGGCATATAATCAAAAATATCACTCTCATCTTCAGATGAGTCATTGTCGCTTTGTTGTGTTTGATCCTGTTCACTGGCCTTATTAACATTAATGTATCTTGCTCTGTAGTTCATCATCAGTAGTTTTTGTATGAAAGTCTGAATCAGTTCCTCTTCAGCACAAGACTCAAGGGATTGTAATGAATGTTCAGTTATCTGAAGAACATCTGCAGCTCTCAGTTTGTTGTTCCTGTTAAGATTAAGTCTGCGAAATAGAGGCTCTATTTTTTCACTTTCAGTTATTTCCTGCTTTAGGTGTTGATCTGGATGGACTCCTGCTGCTCCAGTGTTTTTGCTCTCTCTCTGTTTAATAGACAAATCTCTCTGTTTAATAGACAGACAAACACACAAACAAACAAATAAATACATAATTAATTTTATTCAGTTTAATTTGCATGGAATCACATTCAGTATTGATAATAAGAAAGGCCATTCAATATATTTTTAACTTCAAGGTTAAACCAAGTTTATTGTTCATTGAGTACTATTAGTATGCAATTAATGGGTTTATCTCCCCCCCAAAAAGCTCAACCTATACAGTGAGAGTTTGGGGCATGGCTACTGTAGTAGGCTGAGGATTGTGGCTAGAAGGGATACAGCTCTGACCGAAAACTAACAATGAAATTAAATTTTCTACCTATTCGATTGTGTTTTATTAATGCTACAACTACCCCAACTCTAAATCTAGCCCTTACTATCATACAAAAACAGTATTATTGTTGTAAAGTGTGACATAAATTACGCTAGATTGATGTGTGCATGCCCAGTAGCCACAGCTATTTACCATCTAGCCTTAACCCAGGCTGAGCCATTACATGGGGAAATACATTAGTTAATTATCAATTATTTCATAAATTAATCTTTGATCATCAGGTTTCAGCTGTAAATTTTACTCATGATCAAACATTACTTGATCAGTCATAAACTTGAATTATTATTATTTATTTATTTTGGTAACACTTTAGTATAGGGAACAATTCTCACTATTAACTAGTTACTTATTAGCATGCCTATTATTAACATATTGGCTGTTTATTAGTACTTATACACCTATTCTGCGTGACCATATACTACATCCCTGATCCTACCCAATACCTGAACTTAACTAAACTTAACTTAACTGAACTTAACTTAACTACCTTACTACCAACTATTAATAAGCAGCAAATTAGGAGTTTATTGAGGCAAAAGTCTTAGTTAATGGTTTGTTAATAGCAAGAATTGGACCTTAAAATAAAGTGTGACTAATATGACTCTTCTGAAACCACACTATAGCTTTGCATGAGTAAAAGACAGAAATTTAATTGTTTATGGTGCTATAATGACTTGGTCCCTATTCAGATTCATTATATGGGGGAAAAAATCTGCCAGAGTATTGTAAGTAAGAAAGTCATACTGGACATGAAGGTGAGTAAATAATAATACATATATATATATATTTTTTTTATTTTTTTATTTTTATTTTTTTAGATTTTTTTAATGAAGCTATTCTTTCTGAACATACACACGCACAATACTACACAAAACTTCTTCAGTATCTGTGATCTCTATGTGCAGTGGCACAAATTATGGGAGTAAATGGCATTAATATAAAACAAGCTTAAAACTTCTCTAAAGATTTTCTGTGAATGTTTACCTTTATGGAATCATTTGATTCAAAACCATCAATCAAATGCTCACAGAGGCTGTTTTCTGTTTCACACTTCTCTGTGATTTCATGTGAATCTGAAAGAGAAAAAAACAGCAGTAGTTCAGTTTTACCACTGAAGATTTTAGGGTTCAACTGAAAACTAAAATTTTGTCATCATTTGCTCAGGCTTGGTTCAAAGCTATAAGATTTACTTTAATTTGTGGAACACCAAAGGCAGAACTAGTAAGCTATGCACCTGATTATACACATTTGATAACTCACATGCCATGTGCATGGAGTGCTAGCAATAGCATCAGCTCATTTTTTAAGGTAAAATTTGTCTGTATGGTTATTAGAATCACTGTTTTGGATTCCTGCTTTGAACTTTTGAATGTGAATACAGAATTGACTCGGCAGCCCCCCCCAGGTCCTGGTGGGTAAATCTAACGGGCAGTCTTTGGTCTCATTAATCTATTATTTGTTCCAGAGCAAATAGTTTTGGCTAAGGGCAAAATCTCATCAGGTTATATTTTATGTAAGTTCAATGCTGTATATCAGAGCGCTGCCTTTGTAGTTTTGACTGAACTGCCTAGCAACTTTTAAGATGGCTGTTGTTGTTGTTTATTAAATATTATTATACAATAAATAATATTTATATAAATACTAGTAGTATTTAATAATAGAGAAACGGTGTTGAGAAATGGTATGTGTGTGTGTGTTCATTATGGTGATTTTAGTTACATTTATTCCGCCATTTGATGATGGCGACAAGAGACTGTTTTTATGAGCGAGTCAGCACTTTAATATTGAAAGAGACTGGAACAGGGTTGTAAACAAGGAAGTTTTTTTACTTTCAACAACAGCTTGTAAGACGCAGACAACAAATTCACTGAGCAGTGCAGTCATTGGAAATCACCCTTGCAGTAAAGGACCGACAAAGATATCGGGTTCCTCAGCGGACATCCAAACTATGTTTTATTGTGAATATGAGATTGAGGTGAAGAATGAATGCTATATCAGATGCAGTTAATCACACTCACTCAGTCCATCTATCTCTCATAATATTCTACTCTTCATAATACAGTGAGCTTTTAATAAAGTAATACAATAAGTTTTCAGTGAAGCTGTTCTAAGTTCTAAAGTGACGTTTTCAAATTAGTAAAGGAGGCTTGGACTCAGAAGTTAAACTGTCAAACTGAGATTTGAATCTGTGGTGGAAGGAAGTAGTTCTGCACAAAAGAGGGTTTTTAAAGACACTCCATTGGTGTTTCTATCACACTTATATGTGTGCACAGTGTGCTATGGCTGTATATCGGCATGTTGCATACTATGGCCGAATCACAGCCATGCCGATATACAGCCATAGCACACTGCTACGAGTGTGATATTGCTCATACATAAATATATATACCTAAATCCAAGAACATTTAAAAGAATCCTTCAACAGAAGTCTTTTTTTTCATGTTACCTGAAAAAAAAAAACAGAGGTGTGAAATGGGCTCTTTTGAGCTTGTTGAAGACCAGTCATGCTGCATTCTGGATCATTTGTAAAGGTTCAACCTGCATGACCATGCTTTCCTTTTTCACTTCTTATCACTTACATTCTACCTATTCTAGCCTATACTCTTCTACACAATGTTTAGAACTTTTTATTTTTTAGCACTTTTTTATGTTATTGTCTCCTTAGGATTAATATGTTTGCTGTATTCCTCATTTGTAAGTCGTAAGTGGATAAACACATTTGCTGACTGAATATAATGTATATAAATGTATTACATTTAGATGATCCCACTGTGATGTTTTTCAAGTGCCCCTCCCATATGCAAAAGTTTCCTTTTACAAAATTATTAAGGTTAATGGGGTAGATTGGTAAGCAGTGTTAATGAGATCAAGAACCAATGATTATTAAGATTGTCCAATGGCTAGAGAAGATGAGGGATCACTGCCACTGGGCTCTTGCCCAAGAAGGAAGGCATGATATTGGTGAAAGGATGAGATCAGACCAATTTAGTTATAGAAATCACATCACCCCAATGGACTGAGTGAAAATAACTGAACCAGGAAAGGATCAGGAAGAGCAAGGACTCAGGGTGTTTTGACACCTAGTTCATTTGAGCCTTCCAGATGATCTTGGAGTGCTTCAGTTTGTATATGTCAGGGGTGCCCAAACTCGGTCCTGGAGGGCTGGTGTCCTGCAGAGTTTAGTTCCAACCCCAATTACAAGCAAAATAATCTGCCAATGGGCTAAGCAAAATCATCTTATTTCAAACAGGAAACAAGACAAAATATCTAAGCAAGAAAATCATTCTTTTTGCAGTGTAGACACACCTGAACCAGCTCTTACTAGGCATACTGGAAACCAAATCCACTGGAAGGCAAGCTTGCAAAGCTTTGGGCAAAAAAGCATAACGGCTAATGCTAACGCTGTGGCCATAGATAGGAATAAGGGAAGGAGACCCGAGACCATTTTATGATTGGCTGAGGTGGCTTACGTGATCCAAGTTAGCCGTTACGCTTTTTCCATGGTAATTAATAGACCCTCTCATCTCCCAATAGTAAGACAATCTCTGCTGGAAACTTCCCGGCAGGTGTGTTGAGGCAAGTTGGAGCTAAACTCTGCAGGACACCGGCCCCTCCAGGACTGAGTTTGAGCACCCCTGGTATATGTGAACAAACCAAGTGAGCTTAGACCCCAGAGTCCATTTTTGGTTCGATTTCCTCATGATCCATTTGTGAATGCAATCAGGTCCTGGTCCGCTTTGTTTTTTTGTGTGTTTTTTTTTTGCTATGGACCAACACAGTAATGCTTGAAGTTAAACTAAGCAGTTCATTATTTGTAGAGGTCGACCGATTCATCGGTTTTGCCAGTTAATCAGCACCGATAGTTGATTAGCGGAACTATCGGTTATCTGCAAATATCCATGCAGATAGTTTTCTGGGTTGTGTCCAGTCAAAGACTATGGGTCCAGTGCTGGAGTGGCTGAGAAGGGTCCGCTGCCATTATAGAGTGCGAGAGCGGAAATCACTGACAGCACATGTTGTTTGTTTTGACACGTGACACTGCGCTGCACAGAGTGGGAAACGTCTCAGTTACGTATGTAACCCTCGTTCCCTGAAGGAGGGAATAGAGGCATCACGTTG